CAACTGTCAGCAGACAGTAGACAGAGTTGTCATTCCAGGGCAGGCTTAGTCATCCTCACCCAGTTCTCAGTTGAAGACCTCCTGTAGAGGATGCTATGCCACACATGAAATCCAGGTGTTACAGGACAGAGGCTGGGGGAGAGCCTGGCAGGGGAGGGCTTCCCCTTGCACTGTGCAGGAATTCTGAACTGCACAAAGAAAAGGGAATTGGGAGCATGATGTTGGCATTCCAATCCCTTCCTGGCCAGAGAGAGAGACTACATGTGCAATTCTCCCTTTTAATGACTCATATTTGTTTTTACATTAGCTTCTTTCCAAAATTCCAAGTGCTCACTAAAGTTTATACCAAAACATGTGTCCAAATTTTCCCAGCCATCTTCTTAAAAATAAGATATACTCATTTATTTGAAAGGCAGAGTGAATTACATGGGAGGGGTGGGTGGAGTGACAAAGAGATAGTTCACCCCTCAAATGACCACAATCACCAGGGATGAGCCAAACCAAAAGCAGGAGCTGGGAACTCCTTCTCGGTCTCCTATGTGAGTAGTAGGGTAGGGTCTGAAACACTTGAACCACAATCTGCTACCTTTCCAGATGGACTAGCAGGAAGCAAAATAGAAAGTGGAGTCGTCTGGACTAGCAAACCAAGCATTCCAATAGAGGATGCAGGCATCTCAAGTTGTGGCCAAACCCACTGCAGTGAAACACCCACTTTTCTGATTCTCAGTGACAAACAATTTTTAAGTTTATCCTTTCCCATTTTATGCTATGACTATTCCCAAATTCTGATTCCAGAGTCTGGTTAAACCCCAAAGGCACTGATGCTTGACACCATGTAGGCTCGTTGTACTTTTTACAGTATTATCTTGACCAAAAAGGCAGCACTATCCCCAAAATGTATTTATTAGAGCTCTGGATTGCTAGTAGCCATTGTATCACATGTCCGTGATCAAAGCTGCACATTGACATGCAGACTTTAAAACACAAGCATGTCTACATGCTCTACAAGACTTCTGGCTGTGTGAATCCCTGATAATGAAGAGGAAAGAGAGGTGTCTCTCACCTGCTTGATGACAGTACTTTTTATTTTTGGTAGAAAATATGGAGTGTTCTACTAACCCTGTTAGAATGTAGGCTTACAAAGCCTTGGTCTTTGCCATCAGATGCTGCAGCCTGGCCTCTCCCAGCCTGCCTTCTTGCTGGCAGGTGCTGTAGCCTAGCCCTGCCCCATCTGCTCCCATCCCCGGCTCATGCAAACCAGCATGTGTGATAGCCTAGCCTGCTATGACCTGCACCCCAGCCTGGCTTCTGCCCAGCCCTGCCTGGTCCAGCCCCCTCCAGAACCACACATTTGTTAGTGAGTGGAACTACCTTGCCTAGCCTTCCCAGGCCTGAATCACATGCTCACCAGTGGGAGCTATGGCCCACCAGGGCCAGTTCCCTTACCAGTTCCACTCCCAGACTGAGATCTCACATGTGCCAGTCGGTGCTAGGTACTCAGCATAGTCTGCCCCCTCCAACTAATCCTAGTCTTTGTATGAGCTGGTGGATGTTGCAGTCTGGTGTGCTCCACACCCTCTTCTTGGGTGCACCTGCAAGCTCTGCACCCTATATCAGCCTGACCTGCTCCCAGCCCCAGTACCCATGAGTGTTGGAGGGTCCCATGGTCATGCCTAGCTCAGCCCATCACTATCTCCAGCTCTTAAGCAAACTAGCAGAAATTACAGTTCCACAAGGGTGGGCCCCCACATCCCTCACAGAATCGGCTCCCAGATCTTCTTCTCTCATGTGTTGGTTGGTGTCACGGCCCAGCCTAGCATCAACCATTCCCTGTTCTGACTCACATTGGTGGGTACTGTGATCTAGCCCTGCCAAGTAGACCCCCAGCCCTAGCTTTGGTGTGTGCTAGTGATTGGTGATTGATGCTTACTAGCCTAGATCAGGTCTCCCATGTGGGCTAGTGTATTGATCTGACCCTTAAAGATCCTCCAGCTCCCCACTCCACACTGCTTGGCCTTAGTCCACTCACTTACCTGTAAGTACAGTGGCTTTGTTAATGGAAGGCCCTCAGAAGTCATTTCTCACCTGCAACATACTCCCTCAGTGGTCCTCCCTCCCATACATGCCCTTACCCCCTTCTCTGGGCAATACACAGTCCTGTGGCTGAGAGCACATGGGTTTCCCAGCCCAGCTTTCTGTAGCCAAATCTTTCAGTGGGGTGGTGTGCTGGCCTGGAGCGCTGTCCACCCATTAGGGTCCCAAGCTCCTGGTATGCATGTTGGCCTGGGACCTTATACCTCCTCCCACTCAAGTTCCAAGCTCAAATTTTCCCAAGCTCTGTCCACCAGCACACCACACCAGCATGTTAACCTATGGTTCTCCCCTCCCATTCTCCAGCCCTGCCAGACCCAAGAACATGGGGAAATCCCCAGGCTTGCTCCAGCTCCCTTGGAGTGGTGAGAGCCTCAGGTCCCTTCATGCCCCCACCAGCACTATTCTCCAGGCCCCCTGCAAGTCTGGACCCCAGGACCACACGAGCCCATGTGCCCATGGTGGATACAGTGGTGACGGGCACAGTGGTGGCAGCTGGCACATGCAATAATTAATTCATTTTGAGTTTTTCCCCCCTTTTTAAAAAAAGGGATTCATTTTATTTGCTTGAAAGGCAAAATTTCAAAGGGATGGTGAGAGGCAGAGAGAAAGATCTTCCACCTGTTGGTTCACTCTGCAAGTGGCTGCAATTGCCAGACTGGGCCAGACTGAACCAAGGAACCAGGAGGTTCTTCTGGGCCTCCCATGTGGTTCCAGGGGTCCAAGGACTTGAGCCAATTCTGGTGCTTTCATTGGCATATTAGCAGGGGATTGTATCAAAAGTGCAGTAACAAGGACTTGAGCCCATATGGAATGCCAGTGCATTCCCACTAACCCACAATGTTGTCCCTTAACTTTATTTCTTTCAGCAATCATGACAGTTATGCTTTCATTATCACTAATTCCCTTTACATAGTTAATGCTATGTAAGAAATCTGTGTTTTTGCTTTTAGTAAATTAGAATTTTTATGGCATATAAGTATTTTAAGTAAATTGTATCTATTTGAAAATTAAAGATTGATATTACTTGGATTTTGTCACATTTAACTTTCAAATATATATATCAAGGTGCTTTACAAAGGGAGCAACTATTTTTTTTTAAAGATTTATTTATTCTTTATTACAAAGTCAGATATACAGAGAGGAGGAGAGACAGAGGGGAAGATCTTCCATCCGATGACTTACTCCCTAAGTGACTGCAACGGCTGGTGCTACGCTGATCCGAAGTCAGCAGCCAGGAACTTCATCAAGGTCTCCCGCACGAGTGCAGGATCCCAATGCTTTGGGCCGTGCTTGACTGCTTTCCCAAAGGCCACAAGCAGGGAGCTGGATGGGAAGTGGAGCTGCCGGGATTAGAACCGGCAGACCCATATGGGATCCTGGCGCAGTCAAGGTGAGGACTTTAGTTGCTACACTATCACCCTGGGCCTGGGAGCAACTATTTTTTTTAAAACTTAGCTCTGGTCTAGGTGTTCAACAAAATTTTTTTCACCAAGCAAAAGCAAAAACCCCAGATACAGACATAGAAATGGAGACTTCTCGGACTCCTCAGGTGAGATTCCTGTTAGGATTCCAAAGCAAATTGTACTGGAACACAGGAGATTACTGGTGGCCCTACATCTCCCTGCTACGCAGAGTACTTCTTAAATGTTTTGAAGCATCTACTGTGGTTGTAAATTTCTGGAGTGCTTTATTAGGATTATTCTGCTGAAAAGCTGAAGAAACAAACAATGAGCCCCAAGAGAATGCTTAATTTGCAGTGCTATATTTGAATGTGTTCACAGTCACAACACAGGTTGAAATCATCCAGGGTGCAACCAAACATCTTTGTCTTATACTTCATGGATACATTCAGAAAGAGTTAGACTAGGTACTGTGAAGAGAAAATATAAAGTAAGGCAATGGCTTTCCTTCATAGGATAGGATTACCATATTAATAAAACATTTCTAAAGACAGTTACTGCAGGGCATGATTCTGATCTACTTTGCATTCTCCCAATTTTCATTTTCACCCATGTACCTGACTGTATGTGCCTGTAATATAGAACACTCCAGCAATAGGAGCTCCTTTTTAAAAAGAGATTTACAAGTTTTTCTAGAAGCAACTTTCAAGTATAGTAAAAGAGAAAAGTCTCCAAACAGAACAAGTACATAGCTCCCCAGGAACACAGTGAAAACTATGCAGAATAATTTTTGATGAGTCTGGGTGACTGTGCCAGACTCTAAACAAGTGGTGATTCTGTTGTGACATCTGCTGAGCAATGCATCCATTGTTCTCTGGAATTTAATTCATTTTAAATTACTCCATCCAAATGATAAAACATGAGATGTGCTACACTCCAGGGGTGAAATGCTATGATTGCTTTTAGTGTGACCACAAGTGTTAGTTGGGAAGCCATACAGCCTGGTCCAATTAGGCACTGGTAACTATCTTCTGAAAAACAGCCAGTTCTAGGAATGTGAAATTCTGCTAGATGGAAGAGACTACGATAAATGATCTTGATTACTCTGCTGTGAGTGCAAAGTTGGCACAGCCAAATGCAAAGATTTCCCAGAATGTAGCTCAGTTTTTGGAAGAGAAACTGTTTTCAAAACTTAAAGCAGCTGGAGAGTACAGGTTTATGATAGCAAGATATAGTTAAAACGTGTATCAATTCAGTCAACACATTACTTTATTGTTCAAGGACTACTGTGTAAATGCCCCCAAATCCAAAACAGAATAACCCTCTGCCTGAGAAGCGTTGTAAAAATTCCTAAGAGTTATATGTGGTAGAACATAGTACCATCTGGAAGCATTACTAATCAGGCATTGAAACACACACACACACACACACACACACACACACACACACACACACGTAAGAGGACTCATAAGAAAACACACAGAGAGAACAATTCTTATCTCCTGAACTCCATATATTTAATATAAACCTTTGAAACAAGTTCAAGAGAAATAAAAATTAAAAAACAAAATTCTCAAGAAGTAAAAGATTAACTTAGATGCCAAGTATTCCCCCATTGCTTCAGGCATCAATTTTTTTTTCTAATGTAAAAGGATGTCTTCAAACTGCTTAAGTGATAGGACATGATACACAAACCTGTTGAAATAATAAAGCCAGTCATCTTGCAATTTTAAGAAATTAAGTAAAATATACTATTTGACACCTCTCTCTCTCTCTCTCTCTCTCTCTCACACACACACCCACCCACACACACACACACACACACACACACACACACACACACACTGACAAAATGTGGCCTTCTCCTACAATAAGTACACAAAGATCACTGAGCTTTGTCAGGAGGGAAAACTGTGTCATCCCTCTCTACAATCCAGGTAATTCCCTTTAATCCAGTAGCAAATCTGGGCATATTTGAGAGGGGTGATTCTAACAGCCACATTGAAATCTTGCGGTGAACCATTCATGTCCACCCACTGGTGCCCTGAAAAGATGCCAATAATTTTTCGCTCCCACTTCTGCTGCTGTCTCTTCCACATCCTTACATAGACTCCTGAGCCACTGGCCCCGGGCTGGGCATCACACTGCTGGTAGAGCAGGTCGTAGGTCTCATCTTTGACATCACAAAAGCGGTACACTAAATTGCCTGGTCGGTCATTGTCATAACCAGAGAAATGGATTCTGCCCCCCGGCAGCTGTTTAGCGGGAGGGCTCACCCCAATCTTCATGAACTTCCTCTTGTGGGGCTTTTTGAGTTCCAAGAGAGCATAGTCATAATCCATGCCAATGTCATTGGCATTGCCTTTGATCCAACCCTTGGGCACGTGAGTGCGTTTTACACGGATCCATTGAAACTTCATCTTCTCGGGAATGCCTGAGTTTGAGTGGTTTGCTCCTCGGCTGCCATCTTTAAACTTGGGCTTAAGGAAGCCCACTCGAAGTTTCTGTGTTCCTTTTACATAGGTCTTTCCATCATGAATACAGTGAGCAGCTGTGAGGACATGTTTTTCTGCCACCAAAGTGCCAGTGCAGCCTGTTGACAACTTGACTGATGTTGAAAAGGGGTAGTTGAGCAGGAAGTCCTTCCCAAAAATGCTGAACCTGCTGTCATAGCCATAAATCTGCCGCTTCCTCCGAGACTTCCCTGAAGACCCTGAGTCTTGGTGTTGGGCACCCCCTCTACCACTGCTGAGGACATAAATGCCCACCCTCGTCTCGGTGCGGCTGCCATTAGCATAGAGCGTTTCGTACGACAGGTATTGCTTGGCCTCTTCATATGTGGGCAGTGGACTTCCCTTATGACACTGAGGTCCACATGAGGAGGATACTTCCAACTTTGCTTCGGCTCCAAAGTCTGGCTTGGCTAAGTTGAGGGTAGACTGGGGCAAGATGACAGGGAGGCGGTAGGCGGGCCATGTGGGTTTCCAGGGGGCGGTGTAAGGGCTCACCTGTCCAACAGCACAGAGCAGGAGGAAGAGGAGAAGGATGAGTAGTCCTGGAATTCCCGCCATGCTGAACACCCTTCTGTAGAAACAAAGACAGCAGGTCAGGAGGGCAAGGGCTGAACCTCACGGAGCACAGACCACGAAGCCCGGCAGCTGGCCTGCCATTGTTTCTAAGGCTGTTAGTCTTCCTCAGGAATCAGGGTGTGGTGGGGAATCCTTAGGTAATCACCTCCTTTACAATGCTGGGGCTTGACCTTGGGATTGGTCTTGTGGCTAAGTGCCCCAGATGAACTCGGTGTTCTTTCTGTGTTTGAGATGCTGCCCATGATAACCCTCTGTTCCCAGACGAACTGCTGACCAGCCCCAGTCTCCACACGCTTTTGAGCCTTCTCAAAGTGTTTAGTTCTCTCCTACCTCTCTGGGTCCCTTGATTTTCTTTCCTTCCTCTGCCCCTCCCATCTTCATTATAATATGCACTTGGAAAATTTTCAGGGCAATTTGCGCATTTTTAGCTCACTGACAGAGGTTTCCAGCTGGAACACTCCAGTCACACCCATCCAGAACTCCTATTGCTTCTAAATGATGACTGCATTTGGAAGAGGGCATGAGACTGCTTCTTCATTATTATATTTAATATATTATGTTTTGTATTTAATTCCAAAAAGCATAATCTCTAACAAATAGTTTCTTATTTCTTTGGATTATTTTGTAAACTAACAGAATTTTTGTTAAAGATCTAAAACTCTTGCTGCAGGTACACTACCATATTGTTATTGTTGGTTACTTTTTCAGGTGTTTGAACCTTTGTTCCCAGGGAAAATGTCTTGAACTTGGGTCTTTTCTAGCACTCAAGTATTTATTTTCATTTTTCTGAAAGGCAGAGAGAATGCAACAGAGGTCTCCTGTCAGCAGGTTCCCTCCCAAAATGCCTGCCATAGCTGGGCTGGAGCAGGCTGAGGCCGAGAGGCTGAAACTCCACCCGGGTTTCCCATGTGAGTGACGGGGTCCCTATACCCGAGCCACCATTTGTTGCGTTCCTTAGAATACATTAGCACGAGGCTACAATTTGAAGCTGAGTGGGACTTGAACCCAGGCACTCCGATATGGGACGTGGTCATCCTGGAGGCATCTTGACTGATATGCAGAAAGTCCACTCTTCAAAGGAGTGCCCGTGTTAATGTAAGAATGAATGGGTGGTATGACTATACAACAGACTTTTTGAATGATGCATTCTGACTACTAATAGATGTATGTGGATGATGTAGTAGCTTAAAAAGCGTGAGGTCGGTGAGGATAACAGGGGAGGTGTTGCTAGGGGGTGGATCTGGAGGTTGATGAGAAATTGACTATCACAGGAGAGATACTTAAAAAGGAGCAACAGTCTGCAGGGGCACAGAGCTGGACCACAGCGTGAGTCACTAAAGGAATTATCATTAGCTCAGCAAGGGCTGAGCAGAGGAAGTGGTGGGGGCAGCAGGCAAGAGCCAGGTTCTAAAGGACTGTGTGTGGTTTGGATTTTGCCCTGAAAGATGTTAGAGATGCTGGTTCACCACCCCACAAGGAAAGCACAGATGAGAAGAATTTCCAAGAACTTTCCTAAGTGCGTAAGCATCATTGACTGACTTCTTTTAGTGCAAGAGAACCTGACTCAGTGGATAAGGTAACTCACAAATTCTCAAAGGAGAAAGAATGGGTGTGGCTCAAATGGCCAGCAGGAAGCATCAGGGGGAAACCACCCTCATTTTCATTCTCCTCCTCTTCAAGGATTCTAAACCTTGGTGATAAAGCTGGGGTGCATTTTGCTTTCTTTTAAATAAAACTGGGAAATCTGGTCGAGTTGGCCTGGTGCAGCAGCTGAGCATGCTGATCCCACCCCCATCTCCATCACTACATTGCTAAAGTATGTATGCACTATTCTCACCCTGGAACTTTATTTGCATGACTCTTTCTCTTGATTCCTCTTTGGACAGGACGGATGGGAAGAGGAAGGAATGAAGTCCCAGAAAAGTCCATTCTTGGGGAATTCCTGATTCCCCGAAGCTCTTCCATGCATCCCTTCCAGATGTCCATCCCTTCCATAGGAATAGTCTTCAAATCCTATTCATAAAAGGAAGTAGATCTAATCATTTCTTCAGATCTTTGAAATCATGGTGTGCATACATAAATGTATGCATGTTTGTACATTTATGTTTGAACATTGTTGAGTCTAAAGATTGTTACTAGGCTGGAAAGGAGATTCTGAATGCAGCAGAATCCTCTGCAATGGGAATATGGCAATGGGATAGGTGTGGTAATGGCAGTGTGTTGGGGGATCAGCAGGACATGGATCTCTTTTTGATTATGCTCCTTTTCTAGCCAAGAATCCAGTCCTTGGGCTTATCTAGAGCTTACAGAGCCTTTCTGTGTGTAAGTTGTTGTCTAGGTGATTGAAAGTCCCACTCACACCAAATTCCTGCCAAGTATGACATGTACTGGGAGGAACTGTGCATCTCCCACATGGCTGATCCTTGGGTCCCATCGCTCCATCACACCACCCCCATTTCCATTGACTAATTGGAGAATGTTCATGCTCCAAGCATAGCATAGCAAACATGGTAAGCCAAGATTTGCTTTAGCTTATCTTAAGACAGACACCACAGACTCAGAGGCCCAAGTTGACAAGTGTGGGGACAGTATAGGAGATGAGATAGTGTTAAAATATGTATTAGCATAAATTATAGATAATACATACTTTCAATGTGCCTAAGGAACATAATAGCTAAGATATGTTCATATTATCATCTAGAGCATGAACCTTCAAACCCCAAATCTAAAATGTGTATGTTAGTTGGATCCAGAAAGGGATGATTTTGAATTATCAACTGCATCAAAATTCTTCTGATGGCATCTTTGTTTATCTTTATCCCTTTGTATGAACATCAAAATAGTTTATAGGAAGGTGTCCAGGGAAGATAATGACAAGAAAAAAATGTGAAACTAGTGCAAATATGTACACTCAAAACCCATGTAGGAACCTTGTTTTAAACTAACTCTATTTTCAATTTCCCAAGTGCTTTACCTGAATAATAGAGCTCTATTTCTTAAAAAAAAAAAAAATACTTTCTACAGGTCCTAAAGTATGCCCTATTTCACATGAACTGCTATGGCATTTTTAAATCCTTTTTGTTTTGAAAAAAAAATCATGTTACTAGAAGTCAGTTCATGATGTTATTGGGCATGGAGAGAGTGAGAAAGAGTCCTCCTGGAATGTGAGCACTGTGCAGTTACTTGGGCTCCCACATGCCACAGCCTCATTCTAACTTCTCAAACATACAGGACCAAAATGATGGATGACCATGTGCATCTGAAGGTATCCTCTAGGATTCCAGATCATGTCTTGACTGCTTTACTTTCTATCCAACTCCTTGTCAATGGCTTCGGAAAAGAAACTAAAGATGGTCCAGGCGTTTGAACCCCTGAACCCACATGGAAGAAGTTCCTGACTCTTGGCTTTGGCCTGGCCCAGTCTTGGCTGTTTCAGAATGAGAAGGTGGATAGAAAAACCTGTCTTTCTGAATCTCTCCCCCGTCACTCTGTAATGCTGGATTTCAAAATAAAATAAATACATATTTGAAAATCTGTAGTTCAGATTTAGGAATTAAGGCAGACATTAAGAAACCGATATAGGTCAAATTATTCCAAACGGATTACATTTTTAAGTAACTAGTCAGAAACTGGATAGATAGATAAAGCTTTGTGTACCCAAGTCCTTAGGCTTAAACTCACATCTGTGTTTAAGTTACAGACTTCTTTTTTTTTTTAAAATATTTATTTTTATTATTTTTTCATTGGAAAGGCGGATATACAGAGAGGAGAGACAGAGAGGAAGATCTTCCGTCCGATGATTCACTCCCCAAGTGAGCGCAACGGGCCGATACTATGCCGATCCGAAGCCAGGAGCCTCTTCCGGGTCTCCCACGCGGGTGCAGGTTCCCAAAGCTTTGGGCTGTCCTCGACTGCTTTCCCAGGCCACAGGCAGGGAGCTGGAAGGGAAGCGGGGCTGCCGGGATTAGAACCGGCGCCCATATGGGATCCCGGGCGTGCAAGGCGAGGACCTTTAACCACTTGCGCCACCGCGCCGGGCCCTAAGTTACAGACTTCTTAACTTTCTCACTCCCTTACCAAATACTCATTTATTTAAAAATGTCAATTTTTATGTTTTAAAATGCATTTTACTTATTTGAAAAGCAGAGAGAGGGAGAGAGATCTGCAATCTGCTAGTTAATTCCTCTACTGCTTGTGGTGTTGGAGTCTGGAGCTGTTAACTCAATCTAGGTCTCCCACATGGGTAGTAGGGATCCAACCACTTGAACCATCACCAGCTGCCTCCCAGGCTGTGAATCAGCAGGACTAGGAAGGGAGGCAGAGTCAGAACTCAATCCCAGCCACTCTGAATGCATGTGGCCATAAAAAGCCATGTGTTAACCACTATGCCAAAGGCCTCCCTCTCGAATTGCTTATCATAAAAAAAAAAGTATTATTACTTATTTTTATTTGAAAGGCAGATTTACAGAGAGAGGAAAGACAGAGAGATGGATCTTTGTCTGCTGATTTACTCCATAAATTGCCATAACAGCTAGAGCTGGGCTGTACTAAAATCAGAGCCAGGAGCTTCTTCTAGTTCTCTCACATGAGTGCAGGGGCCCAAACTTAGCCCACCATCTGTTGCTATTAGCAGGGAGTTGGATCTGAAGTGGAGCAGCTGGGACAGGAACCAGTGCCCATATGGTATGTCAGTGCCACAGGTGGAGGCATAGCCTACTGTACCATGATACTGGTCCTTAAAATATTTATTTTTGGTGATTTAGAAATTATTCTGGACAGCATCCTAAAGTACATAATCTTTTAAAATATAGGTCTAGGATTCTCTAGTTTTATGATTTGCTTTTAGGACCACAAAGTTCAGATTGCAGACTGTGTTATTTGCAAATGATATCTGAATTGCAATTTACTCCATTCACAGATTTCTGGAGGTTGGAGGCACAAGGGAAAAGTGAAAGGACAATTTATTATGCTAACCTCTTATCTGGCTGGAAGACCAGATTGCCCTGATTAGCTTGTAAAGAAAACAAAGGACTCCAAGAGGAGATAGTTTTTTTTTTTTCCTGCCTGTGGGCAGGGAAGAGGAGAGAGTTTTTAAGAATAGGGAGGAGGTATGGCTTGCTCCTGTTAGGATAGCTTCCTAAGAAAGCAAAGAGGAAACAAACCTCTTGCCCATCAGGGGTCTCCCCTGAGGCATTCACACCCCAGCCTGACTCACACTTGAACAGCTCAACCAAGGATGGCTAGAATGCTTTACAATCAATTTGGCAGCTTTGTAGTGTTTCCTAATTCACTTGGTAGTAGAACAAAGGATAAACAAGCAATGTTTTCTTTCTGATAAACTCTAGGTAAGCAAGTGCTATGTCCAATTGGGTTTATTTGAGCATAAACACCTGGGGGGTACAAATAGACTCAAGAAAAACATTATAATCCCATAATTGGAGAGGTAATTAATGGGTAACAGCTAAATTCTTTCACCTTTACAAATGAATCACATTATCCCTGTAGAGTAGCCCAGAAAACTCCTTAAGGAAAAAAAAAAAGAGAGAGAAAATAATAAAGATGCCCAAATCTAGACTAGCATGAAGAAAATTTAGGTCTACACCATCTCTTTTCTATGAATAAACCCTTGTTAGGTTTATTATCTTTTAAAGCTTTCTTTATTATCTTTGTTATTTTATTATCTTTTAAAGTTATCAACCAAGTATTTGCATGTCTCATTTCACCCAAATGACAAAGCAAATGGAAACCTAAGGTAAGAAAATATTTTTTTGCACCATGACTAGTAATACAGCAATTATATTTCTTTTCCACCTCTGGGCATCTGACTTGGAGGAGGGCTACTTATTCTGTGCTCCGTTACTGAGTCATTGTCCTCCATTCAAAAATACTCAACACTCAGGATGCTGCCACCTTATAAACCCACTAATACAATGGAGAGATTTTGATGTTACCAGATGTGCAAACAACAATAAATCTCTTTGAAGACAATGCATTATGACAGCTTTCTGGTTAAGCACCTTCATCCTCAAAAACTGCAACAACACAGAGCACCTCCAGAGGGCCAGCATTTAACTCCTGTACTTAACAGCCAAGGACTGTTTCTGAATCCTCCTAGGGTGGCCAGCGACCAGGAATCCTTGGGACATAGATTCTCTAATGCACAGCACCTGAATTCCTGTGACTGCTGTAAACATACATGACAGCGAGAAACAGCAGGAAAGCTTTCAAAAGATAAGAGTATTGGGATCAACTGGAATGATGACAAAGGGTCTTTCATGGACTCTGGGGCCAGGGTAGTGCAATCAAGCTAATTCCTAAAGCAAATGCTTAAGAAGGTACAAAGCTCTTGGAATACTCTGCAGCTAGGGTAGGTCTCATTTTCTCAGTCACAGACCTGTGAAAGCACAACACACCTGATCATTTAATGGTTTAAGAAATACAAAGTCTTATTCAGGAATCTGTAGTGTTCTTAGAAGTCCAACAAACCTAGACAGAATCTCAGTGATCGAACGAAGTTTAACTTCTTTATCAGAGAACTACCTAGCTAGCCTGGGATAAACATGGTGTAAACAGAACAGAGAGCATAAAACTGCCAATGGTGAGACCATGGGAAACAAATTCCCCAGAGTCAGTGGGAGTTATGCATGAATAGTGCTTGGGAGATTAAGTCCTAAAGGACCTGTGAGAAGAGATATCCGGGAGAACCTGCGACTATTAAACACTGCAGCCTGCAGACATATTCATGGTCATGGTGGCACCCATCCCTCACCCAGAGAAACGCCCACATTCACCAGTTACCTGAATGGGTTGTCACTGCTACAGAAATGAGATCCATAATAGCAACCCTGGGAAAAGTTCCCTTCCCACTGCAGGCACACATCCTGATTTTAAGCAATAAAATGATGAGAAGAAGGTATTTATATGCAGGCAGTATGCATATGATCACAATCACTCTCACAACTAAATACGCAGAGACTTCTGTCCTAGAAAGGTTCCCTCTCCTGACTGCATCTCCAATCCATTTGTAATAGTTTCCTTGACAATTACAAAGCCTGGTTTAAACGCTCTCACGCACAAGCAGGATCTTGAAACAACTGGCAGTAAGTATCTTGATATTAATTTGGCATAGAGATTTTGGCAACAGCTGACTTCAAGTATAACTTCAACTGTCTCCACACGGCCACGTGAGGATGATTCTGATATCGGTCTGCCAGACCCTAATGGGCACATAGAGATCTCCAAGTTCACTGTCTGGAGCTGAAAGTAGCAGGCTCTATTCCAGCCCTGACTCTTAAACAAGTGGTGCTTCCCAACAGCCATGGACTGTTTCTGAATCCTCCTGGGTGTCAACCAGAGGGCAATAAAGCAAACAGGACTTTTAATCTGCTGTTTTCTCATGAGATGCTGGAAAATAAACTTGATTTGTTTTCTGTGGGGGAGCGTGGTGATCATCCTTTGTCCAAATAAGTCCATTCCTCCTTTCAAAAGTTTCAAAAATGAGTAAAAATCGTTTTCTCTAGAAGTGAACAACTCTTGGTGGATGGCTACAGGCTGAAGTACAATACTTGGTTTAAACAACAGTTTCTAGAGTTAGCACCCCAAGGGAAGCAGAACGTATCAGTTAAAAATTCCGGAGAAAAGATCCTATTTTTCTAACCTGGGTTTGCCTTAACTTTTCTTGCTTGCTAAAGTGAGTTCACAATCACGTGTCTAGGGTTAAAAAATAATGCCCAGAGCTTGATAGAATCACAGCATGTCCAGCACTACAGCAGAGTAAGTGGTAGTGAAGCGTGCCTAGGGGCTGCGGGTATTGCTCGCGGCAGGAAAGCTTGCCTGATGCCGGCTCGCCCTTTGAACCCTTCTAGCAGCGGTCGTCCAAGATCGCAGTTCCACCTGTGACACTACATCAACCCAAATGCCCTGTAGCACCCCGGTTCCGGCCCTCGGAAACCCGACAGTGGCCGAAGCGAGATCTCCGGTGCCTCCAGCAGCCGCAGTCACCCCACCCCGCGCGCACCCGGCCCTTTGTCCAGCTCCTCCCGATGCCTAGCTGTCCCGGTGCCCGGGCCGATGTCCCAGGCCGCCGTCCACACTCACCCGCGCCGAGCAGCCCGCCCGGGCCGCGGCTCGCTGCGCCGCTCAGACAGGTGTGGGCTCCGGGAGGGCGCGCGCGGCTCCCATGCCTGCCCCGCGGCGCCACCGAGTGCGAGTGAGCCGGCGAGGAGAGCCGGCAGCGGCCGGGTCCGCCCCCGCGCCTCGCGAGGCCGTCCCGCCCCGCCTCCGGCCTCTGGGAAGCGGCGGCCGCCGCCCGCCCCACCGGCCCGGCCCGCGCCCCCTCCCCTGGCCGTGCGCCTTCCGCCTGGGCAGGGGCAGCGCCAGGAGGGCCCGAGGCCGTGCCACCACGCACAGGTGGCTCCGGCTGCGCCTCCCCTGCCGCCTGTCGTGGACTCCCCGGTGGCAGCCAAAGCGCGCTCAGGTGGGCCACCCTGCACGGAACCCATGCGCCGTCACCGAGGAGCAGCTACTTGGCTGCCAGCTGTCAAGGCGATGAGCCCGTTGGTCAGCCTAGAACAGGAGACGCAGGCTGACCCGGGGACCCTCTGTGAGAAATTGAGGAGTGGGGTGGAAACTAGGGCGTTCCTTACCCCACCAACCTTTTGCACGCTTTAGCGTGATGGAGCTCAGCTGGCATTTTGGGGCCTCGAAGGGGCTGCTAGCTGCGTTCCCGTGGTGGGACCACCAGCGTTTTGCAGCTTACTGCACCCTCGGTGATGCAGCCGTTTAAGAATCCGGTACTTCCCAGCCTTCCCAGCCTAAGGAAGCCCGTCAGTGACCAGTCCGTTGCAGGTTGCCATCCACATTGAGCCTTCTGTGACCCCGCTTGACGTATTATAGGCCCTCGTGGTAAAGAGATGCTGAGGTGGTCACTACTCACCGTTTGCAACCAGAGACAACTTGGGTTGTCCAAGGTCACATGGCTCCTGAACACCAGGATGGATTTTTTTAGAATACAGTGCATCTTTCCAATAAGTTGGTCAGACCACTGATCGAAACTCAGCTGTCAGGAAAGGTGGGTCTAATTGTGGTTGCCATAAGGGGTGCTTGAGATGTGGCATCTTTGTAGTCAGTTTTAATTACGAGAGCCCTAATGTGATGTTTCTCAAGCATAAGGGAAGCAAATATTTCCCCCCAGTCTTGGCTTAAATGACTGTGTTAGAATATTGTGATGATGTTCATGAACACAAACTCAGATCTAAACTTCTGTTACAGCTTTTGAACAACTATGAATAAAATCAAAACAAACTTATAAATCGAACATAACAGTTTCTTCCAGAAGAGTAAAATTTAAACTAGCAATGATCCCTCAACTGCTGCCAGCATCACGTGGTGCCCAGTGCTGGTTTGGTGGTACTGCTCCATTTTCTGTGGTTCCAGCATGCTGATATTGAGATGTAACATACTGACTGGATCCTGTCACTGCTTTCTTCCAATCCATCCATCATTAGGCCCTAATACATCATTTTGGGATTAACTGTGTGTTGTTCCTTTCTTACTAGCATAACAAATGGTAATACTTTTTTGGGGACAAAAAATGGCACACAGAGCTGTGATAATGAGAGGCAGAAATTGGTATGTGAGGGCTATCCCATAACACACAATTTTATCATAAAAATGCAAAGTGCAGCTCCCCACGGGAGAGACTCCACCAGAAGCAAAGCACTTTACCCAGTGGAGGATTGAGGGGGCAGCAGGTATGTGGAGTTGGAAGCGGGGAGGAAGGGGAAGTGACTTCTGGATCAGGCTCAAGTTTTGTTAGATTTACTCCAACAAATATTTGTTGAACACTGATTACAAGCAATTCATTGTGCTGGTGATAAAATTAAAGGCATGGTAATAGGAAAGATGATATAGCCACGTAATGAAGGGAGTGTCTGTGACATTCAACTTTGTATGTGCCATTCAGTATCTGCTAACGACTGTGTGACTTTCAGCTTAACTTTTCTGTTCCTTATTTTTCTCCTCTGTAAAAGAATGTGTTTTAAATAATCGAGTGGGATACACAGTTCCTAACGTGCACTGAGTCCTTCATAAGTATTAGCTCCTGACACATTTATCGAACAAAACAGGACTTGCCTTAGCTGTGCTTTGGAGCCTGGTCCTCCAGCACAGCATCAACTCACTTTGACATTCACTGTTTACTTTTTCCTAGCAGTTGTAATCTTTCGATATGAAGTCAGAAAGAACGGATGATTATCCTCATCATTCAGAGAGAGAAAATCTGGGATGCAAAAGGATCCAAAGTAAAAATCCCTTTCTTAACCAGTCTTTGCCTATTCTGCCAAATACCTCAAAAGCAGGAGCTGTGACTGCAGATGACCCACCCACAGGGGCCAGGGTTTGCTTTTGTTGTCCCCTGAAGCTGTCTGGAGTAAAAGGAGCGGTTACTGCCTGGCTCAGAGCTTATCTCCATTGCTGTTCAGACAACAGGACCATAGAGCACTTTGGTCTATAGAGAAATGCCCCATGTAAATAACAGGTGTCCTCAGGCTGAGCCTCAGTGTTTGCTTTTGTTTTTGCTCTTGTCTGACACTCCTCCCTTGGTCCCACCCACCCCACACCTGGGCCTCTGCCACTGCCTTAAACAACACACATGCACAAACCCTAAGCCCTCCCTGCTTAAGGACTCAGTTCTAATGCAGTTCATAAATCTTGAGTACTTTTTATGTGTGTTGCAACTGAGTTGTTAAAAATGCCTTCAGGGAAAGGGCCACATATTTACTGACTGCCCACTCTGCGTAAAGTTGGTGGACACTGGCAGAGAAGCAGAGCAACTATCCCTCACCTCAAGCAATTTATGCCATAGACATAAATGATACAGAAGGGGAAATGAGCTCTAGGGTGGAGCAAGGAACAGACGTAAGAGAAAACATGGAGAAGGGAATCATTTTTTCCCACCCTGGCAGATGTTGAAAGTTTCCTCAAGGCTGTAGAATTTGAGCTAATACCCAAAGACAAAGATCTGGAGGCTTGAATTTGCACATTATCTCATTGATTTCACAAACTATTGTATAGCAAACACAAGACAAAAAAATCACTGTACAGGTGAGAAAAATCAATGTGTGAATTAAGGAACAAAAAGAGGACTAAATAGTGGCAATTATAACTATTTAGCAAACACATACTATATGGCAGATATCAGAGTCTATTTTATTGCATGTAATCTTCAGGGCAAACAAAAATAGAGGGACTTTGATTTTCCCCATTTGGCCGACAAGGAGACTGAGGTCAATGTGTTTACATAAGATATAGCCTGCCCTTATATTAAGGAACACAGCTGTGAATTCTATTTTTTGTCCCATTCTTGAGCTGCGATCTTTCCCAGATCCGACGAGTTCTTCCAGTAAAGAGACTGGATCAATTTGCTGATGCTTCTCTAGCTCTATTTTTTCCCTTATCATCATCATCATTATATTTTGGGTTTGGTCCATTTGTATAATTACTTCATTACAACCTGTTAAGTGTTTTCAGAGCAGGAGATAAAATGGACCTGAACATTAATCAGAAACTTAGAGAGGAAGATGAGAGACCCAATGCTAACTTTTAACTGCCAAAGTCAAGTTCTGCTTATGTTTTATGAGACCAAGATCCATATATGCTGCTTCAACACTTTAATTCAGTTTGAAAGTTATCAAGTATCAATATCAAATATTTTTAAGGACATAGATTTTAAGTTATTTCCATATGTCTTTTTTTTGTGTGTGTGTGTGATTCTAGCGATGATTTGTGGATCTAGGTGGCTTACTCAGCAGCTAGAGGCATGTGGCTCTGTGCCTGAGTGAGAAGGGCCGTGTGACCCTCTGTGACAGTGTCATCCTTGTGCGAGGATGATCCACACCTTCTCCACCCCCTTGGGCACATACATTGCCTACTATAAGGTCCCGGAGTGCGAAAGAATGTGGAATTCCGGAGTCAGTCTAGAATTCATTTATATGTGAGGTAACTGTGGGCCAATTACGTGACTTTCTGGACCTCACTTTCTCACTGTTCTATGGGACTTAGTGCTGTTGTAAGGAACCAGTCAAACGCACGTGGCATAGACTCAGTGTAAAGTCACTTCTGACTTAGGATTATTTATGATTATTATTAATGTTACTACTGTGAATATAAAATACATATTTTTAAGAATCATTGAATAAATAAATGAATCAAACATATTACCAATGCCAAGAGTTTAAACCAGTCTACAAGGAAAATTATTTCAGAACTCCTGCTCAACCCTTAAATCTTTCTGTCACTTGTCTGGCATACAGACAATAGCAAGTTTTCGGTAATGAATTTAAGATGAATTACAAATATAAATGCAGACCAGCATTGTGTATTTCGTCTCCTCTTTTGACCTTTTCTATGGTATCATTTATTCATTCAACAAACCTCTACTACACTACTGCTAATGCCAGGTCTAAATATTTGCTGATGTTTTAATAACAAGTGTATATTTATTGTTATCACAATAATGAATTTAAAAAATCACGTAGAAAAAAAGTAGCAAAAAAGTATTTTTCAAAAAAAGCTAACAAAATCAATAATTTCAAGCAATCAGTATAGCACTGAAACATTGCATAAATAGAGGCTTCTGGGTAAGGAAACTTAATAAAGAGGCTTAATTTTGCTGTTGACCATTTTTGAGATTTATGTAGTTTTTTCATAATATGCATTTCCATATAATTTTTGAAGAGTTCAGTTGTAACCACTGAAATCTTTGAACATTTCTGTTCTTGCTAAACATAGATTACCTACTTGAACTGTTTTAGAATATAACTAGTCAGCATACTCTGAAAATAAATATTCAGAGTATGAGAAGTATAATATATAACAGATAGGCATAAAAATAGTTCTGGGTTAAATTGTCACATTGGTACATATGGAATTCTAAAAAACCAAAAAACCTTCACAGCAAGGAAAAGCTTTACTCCAATATTCTTCTTAAAAGAATATTACAATCTAAACCAGTGCACATTGCAGAATGCCAAGATGAGGTGAGCCGTACCAGATGTGGCCGCAGTGCCCAAACAGCACATGTGAGAACCAGGGAGGGAGGGGCAAAGCCAGTAGGGGGAATGTGAGCTCCTCTGCTGGACAACCACTCCCACTGGGGGGCGTCAGTTGGGATGGGGGCAGACCAGACCAGGCAGGGCTACAACACCTG